GTTTCATATAACTCCTCCCCGAACTTCCCGCTGCCCTGTATCTTGGTCTCTCATTGGCTGTAGGTCATCGCCGATGTGTTTTTCTGTCAGAACTCATTTCACACAGCTTGATTGTGAATCACGTCGGCAACCTGTCGGCGATTCCATCAGATCGCGTCTTTGATAATTCACACTGCGTGATTGTCACTCGCGTGAACGAGCCCCGATTTGCCTCCGATTTCGGGCATTTATCTGTGATTTCGCAAAACCTCTCAGCGAGTGAAAAATCGGGCTAAAATCGTGCATTGTGAACTTGGCATTAGTCTTTGCAAACAGAATCTGAGAAGAACTTCAAGCACGTCGTCACGTCACAAGGAAACCAACCAATCACCGGAGTTCATCCCCAGAAATATGTCAGACATGAGTCAGCAGCCAATCCGGGATTCCCTGATTCCCTCAAGTAGCCATCCAAGAAGCCTGTTGTCGGCTGTCAACTTGAACGCAAGAAACAAACAAATCTTGCTGAACTCTGGAAAACTGGTGCTGAATTGATCTTAAGCAGTAAAGATAAGACAAATCTCTGCTTCGTGATTCTCTCAGGTTGCAAGTTAAAGAACTGTAGCAAATATCTTACTAGATTTTGGGACTTCATGCAAACTCCGTTAATCATCCTTTGAACTGTATTTGTGTGTGTGTGTGTGCGTTTTCATTAGCGTAGTACCATGTAATCTATAGATTAGCTCAAATAAATTCTTGTTTCATTTATAAAGAAGTATTGTCTTGCGTCGTGTATTTTAAAGTCAAACTTTGCCCAGATCCTTTGTTACCTTGCTCAAGATTAATAAGATTACCATTTTGTTTGTGTTGTCGTTGGCCACAAAGTAATATGAACAGAATTGTTAAGATATACTGATTTTAACGCTCGCTGGACGAACCGTTGATAAAGTATAAGCTCTAAATTTTGAATCAGATCAACTTGAAGAAATCAACATCGAATCTTTTCCCTACACGAACAAGAATCGATTCCCTAAAAGCTGAAATAAAAGCTAAATCCTTAAAGTTATTACAATAGATAGAATTTTTCACACTGTTGCTCTGTAGTTGATAGAGTCCTGTATGTTGAGTTCTGGTGTCTGTGATGCTCAGAGATACAGTTTGATGATCCAGCTTCAGTCTGTCTCTGAATCTCTCATCAAGAACATCGTCATATACAGTGATGCTGCCGGCCATTACATTGGTTTGAGTGTTTTCAGTGTTTTCAGATCCAAACCTCTACTGAATCAGATCTTCATCCACTATTTCAGTAATGCTGAGTTCACACTGCACGATTTTAGCCCGATTTTGCCAAAAGAAACAAACAAGAAAAGAGTCAAAAAGAGACACTCCTGAGAGAACTGTCCCACCGGGAGTGCCTCCCCCAAATAACACTATTATGCCGAGTTCACACTGCACGATTTTAGCCCAATTTTTCACTCGCCGACAGGTTTTGCGAAATCGCCAACAAATGCCCGAAATCGGAGGCAAATCGGTGCTCGTTCACGCGAGTGACAATCACGCAGTGTGAATTATCAAAGACGCGATCTGAGGAAATCGCCGACACGTCGCCGACGCCCGTGAAATATTTGGCATGCTAAATATCTGGAGCTGTCGGCGATTCACAATCACGCTGTGTGAAATGAGTTCTGACTGAAAATGATGACCTACAGCCAATGAGAGACCAAGATACAGGGCAGCCGGAAGTTCGGGGAGGAATTATAGACCAGCATAACAGTATTTTAACCTCCTGGGGTCGACGGTGGCGCCGGTATAGATATAGCCTATGAACAATTATATCATACAGAAACAAGCACAAACATTTGCTTGACCAGCCACAACATCAGCATAACAGTTACTGCAAATTTATTTACCTCCAACTCTCTTTGCAGAACAACTCTCTGTTCACTGCATCTCCCTCCTGCATAATTTGTCTTTCTTTTTCTCCTTGTAGCTGGAAATCAGCTCACAGGCAATTTGCGGGCTATATATATATATATATATATTTATTATTATAATTTTTTTAAATAATTCCAGTCTTGCTTGAGAGCTCTGGTCTGACGCACGCAGGTTCTCGCATTATTTCCTTATCACTTCTCGCGTTTGTTG